AAAAAAAAAAAACCAAGCATTTTCCCGTTACTTAGGTTTTGTCAAACTATTACTGAATTTTATTCTTTGCTATATCTTACAGCCAGTCTTTAAAGTCCAGGTATATTTCATGATGGTCTAGGTGCCGATATTTTAAAGCAGATCAGATGCTCAGCTGGTTGGAGCAGGTGTGCTGGTGCTGTGTACTTTAGGTGAGGAATGCCGTGTTAATGCAGGAGGTCCGACTCTAGGAGAAAGTACTCAGTAACAAGTTATGGCTGTAGGTACAGCACTGGAAGTATGAGGACCTCACTCACAACTAAGGGAAGGAAGGAACTAACTGCAGTCTCTTTCTAAGGTCTTGGCTGCATTTGGGGAAAGGAGACAGATTAGCAACCGATATGGGTGAAGGTTTGATTAGTATCTAGATTTCTCTAGGAAATTATGAGAAATCCTGATTGGGAGAATTCAGGTTACTTTGGGAGTCACCAGATAGGGAATAAAAATACTACGAGATTATCAGGAAAGTAATACGCCAGCTCTGGGGCATGATGGGGAAAGAATATGTGTGTGTGTGTGTAGAGATATACATAAATGATTGTGTACGAATACAAAATGCCACATCCTGAACACAAAAAAATTATAATTCCATTGATCTTGTTGTAAATGTTTATTTAAACATCTCATTCGTCCCTCTTTATAAACTGTTAAACCAGGACTCAACTCATCAGATAGTCTAAATAATCGGAATTACTTTCCTGTCATCATGGATGACAGAAAGAAAAGGATACAAAGGCATTGTTAAAATGAATTAATGAAAAAGAACACCTTCAAGGATCAGGCCTGAAATTAGTAGAAAGGCAATCTGGTTTCCTACAGACAGGAATTACAGGGGCGTGTCCATAGGGTGCGTATTAGGTAAGAGAGAAGCTGGAAAGAATAGATCAGACCAAAGTAAGTATAGATTGAAGGATTTGTACTTGTGTAGATATTAAGGAGCCATGTGATATTTTAATGTTTTTAGTAGAAGGGTGGTCTGATTACATACCTATAGCTAGCTATGTTTCCAGGAGGGAAATACAGAAACAAGAGTTTGTAGCACAGACTTGGCCAGGGTATGAGGATCAGAGCTAACAGTCCAGGTGGAAGATAATGACCGGAGGAATTTAATACAGTGGCAGTGGAATGGCAAAGGGGAGGCAAGTATAAGAGAGAAACTGCATTTTGTGAATGGAAGGTAGGATATCTCTTGAGCAGAATATTAGACTCATTGAGGTACTTTCCCTGCTCCTGGGATAGTCTGTTTCCTTTGAAAGCAGGATGCTACTCTCTTCTGGTGAGGTTAAAGGCGTCAGTGGGTCCGGATGCCCCAGTGTTGCTGGGGTATAGTTGCATTGATGTTTGTTGTGACAAGTATTACCGGTAATGGGAGATATAAAGTAGATGGTTTCTTAACAGAGAAAATCTCAGGGTCACCCTGAAGTATAAGCTGCTTATTGAAGTGATTGATTCCAAACTTGAAGAGCAGGATTCTAGACTCATTTTTTTTTAAATTATGTAACCGTAGAGTCATTTGTTCTTTCTTGGTGCCAGTCTCTTCATCTGTTAAGTGAGAATGATTCCTTGCCTGCCTGAAGTTGGAGGGCTTGGCATCCCTCCCAGCTCCGTGTCTGTGATTTTTACAGCTTCCCGTTTGCATTGGAAAGGGGTCTGGAAATTTACTCCAGCCTTCTCATATAGATAAACTTTAAAGAAACATCCTCGGGACGACTTTGGGATTTGACTGTGAAAAATCACTGTAAGAAATTCCTCTGTACTGTGGCAGGTTTAAGCATGAGCCTCTTTTTCTGTGTCACTGATGTAGGAAATAGGAAATCTGAAGAACCTGCTGTGCTTAGATGTCTCTGAAAACAGGTTGGAAAGACTTCCTGAAGAAATCAGTGGCCTGACTTCATTAACGGATTTAGTCATTTCCCAGAACTTACTAGAAATGATTCCGGATGGCATCGGTAAGTATGGAAAGTAACTCCCTACTAAAGATGCTGGCTGTTGTCTCGGGCCTTTGGAGCTCACTCTGATCCTTTGGTCACCACTCTCAGACGCTGGGGATGTGGCTTCTTTAGTCTCCATGTCATTTATTTGTTCTTAAAGAAATAATGCGGAGAACATCTAATGCAATTGAAGTTTCTCGATAGGCAAGTATTTCTGTCATCCTGGTTTGGTAGCAGTTATAGGTATGATTACTTCTAAGTGTTGACTCCTCTGTCTCTTCTGCATCTTGTCTCAGCAATTTCAGTAGAGATTAGTCTGAATAATAGATATGTTTCAGACATGGGAGCAGTCTCTAAGAAATTTCTAAGTGAGCATCCTAAATAGTTTATGAGAAAGTGACTCTGACCTTATCGCATGACCTGGGGAGAATGGTGTGTTTGAGTTGAGCCTTTTCTAGTACATTGAGAATAATCTTTTCCTTTAACCATTCTATGCCATTTCCTTAAAAATAAATGAGTCCAGACATTTCCTTTACCATAAAGGCATTCAGTCCCGTGTGAGAAAATAAACACAGGGAAGGTATAAACAGACATGGACCAGGAGCTCCACCATAGCAAAGCCACTTAGAGGTTGTAAGAAACTGTGTTTAACCACGTGGTTAACATAGGATTGCTGCCTTTGACCTTTGTTTAACTCTTATTCAAAATATCAAAGTTTGTAAAAGATTTTCAGTAGTTGGAAAAGCTGTATGACAGAGGACCACTTCTTTCTGGTATTTGGTCAAGATGAAAGCAGTAGCTGATCGTTGCAACGGGGCAGGAACACAGATGTTGCCTTTTGGTTCACACTGTTTGGAAAATTGGTGGGGATTTTGACTCCAGGTAGAGATGGTTGGTGAGAATGATAATAAAACAGTTGTAGGACCTGGGGACGTTTGGTTGCTGGGCATAGGAAGTAGGAGGCGTGAGATGGCTGACTTCAAGCATTTGAGAGGCCGTCCTGTAGAAGAGAGGTCGATTTGTTACTGCATCTTCTAGTTCAGACAGCTGCAAGGAAAGGATATAAATGAAATATTGGTTACCAGTTAGTCTGGGCTGCTTAGTGAAGGGATGAGTGCCCTGTGACTTGAAGTGTTCAAGGAGAGGCAGCAAGACCACTTGCCAGTAATACTGTTAAGGAGACTCCTCAGTTGGAGGGAGAGCTATCGGTTCAATTCAGTGTGCCCTGTGGAGAATGTCAGTGCCTCTCCTGCCGGTGAGGACAGGTGGGAACCCTCTGGGGACAGTGTTAGTAACTTATTGACGACGCTAAATAAGGAGCTTACGAATCTGTTAGTTCTCCTGCCCTGCTCTGTGACAACACGCAAGGCAAGTTAATTTTTTCAACATTTTCCTTTCTCCAGCTTTACGTCTCCTTTAAGAGAGAGGCCATTTTCTGATTTTCCTGGGGACAGTGTCCCCATGCCAGCCTCTCTCAGTAGATAATGAAGGATATCTGCTCTCTAGGTTCCTTCCTTGAATTATAGTTGAACATGAGAATCCAAAAGATTGAGGATTTCCTTCACTCAGTGGGGACATTGAGGAAGCTGTGGTCACCCCATTCCTCTCTTCCATGGCCTGTGGGCACCACCAGAAAATCCACTCTTCCTGCCCTCAGTTCTTCATGTGGTGTTTCAGAGGTTTCCATTTTATTCTGCACACCTAGAACCACTTCATTACAGAAGCCTTCACCAAGCCACTTTCACTCCCAGGTGATAGAATAAACCACACTTTATTTTTTGTTTTTAGTGAGGATGATTCTTGGAGTAAGATGAAAGTCTCTGTCCTTTGTACACAAAACATTTCCTGTTCTCAAAGATCTGTCAAGAGCTAGCTGTTTGTTTTTCTGTAAAGTTTCTGGCTTTGATACGATTTTTTTATGTAGTGACTTTTAAAATGATTTGTTTCTAATTGCTGACTGTTTTTGATGTTCTGATAAAATTAACTCTCCACCTTTAGTGATCTAAATGAGAAAGATGTGGTTTCATAATGTGAAAAGCCAAGTGAGGAAAAAAAATAACTATTTAAGACAAAAAAGAACAGATAAGAGATACCAAGTGATGATTAGGAAGACAGTTGTAACTAATGAGTTGAAATAATGCTTTTACAGGAAAACTAAAGAAACTGTCGATCTTGAAGGTGGATCAGAACAGACTCACACAGTTGCCTGAAGCAGTTGGGGACTGTGAAAGCCTCACTGAATTAGTTCTTACAGAAAACCGGCTCCTGGTGAGTGTGGGCTGCACATTCAAATGGATACGTATAGTGTGGTTTCTGTATCATAGAGACTTACTAGGGTAGAGTCTACTTACTCATAATTGGGGTGGACTATGTGGAAATTTTCTTACGTTATATCTAAAAACATGGACTTCAAAGCAAATGCAGGACATAAAGATGAGTGGCTTTTAACCTGCTTAAGTGAAGAGAGTGGTAGTTAGGATCTGCTGACAGAGGTCTCCAGTGAGGGATGGGGATGAGCCACCATCCGTGGATGTGCTGATGCCTCTGCCCTGGTGTCCGAGGACCGCCAGAGGAAACCTTCTCTCAGGGTTCTTCGAACAAATGGAAAGAGACAGAGAGAGAAGGGGAGAAAATGGTGTTTGGCTGCGAAAAGCCTTGGTGGGACTGGGGGGATGAGTGCTCTTTGTGGGGCTGAGTGTGGAATTGAGATCTTACCCCACCCTAGAAATTAGGGGTGTTGGTAGCTGCAGGTATCCCACACTTGGCCCGGGCTTCCCCATCCTCCCAATGGTGAAGCTTTGGCATCAGCCACCTGGGGGGGGAGGGGTGTTATCAGGATGACAGCAGATCTCTGTTGCCTCTCCCTTCCGGCTGCTCTCTCTGCTTTCGTCAGGCTCTCACTGATCACTCCATCCTCTCCTTCTCCTCTCTTCGTTGTCTTCTAGCAGCTATGTTTGCTTCACCGTACTTTCCTACCTTTCTCTGTCACTGTATTTCCTACCTACTCTCCCTGCTCCTTTTTCCTCTTCTCTTTTCTCCTTTCTTCATAAAAACAGTAAGCAGTGCTCTTGAGGTGGAGAGAGCAGAAAGACAGCACGAGTGGGTAGGACACAGAGCTGGTGCGGGAGCCCAGCCACATCTCTCCTCAGGTAGCTCGGGCAGCCTCCTCTGGTGGGTGTAGTGGAAGTGCCCCAGTCTTCTGATGCTCGTTTATGGTTTTAGGCTTATAGATAGTTATCGTAACAGCTATAAACATAACATTCGCCCCTGGCTTCCAGCAGAGCGCTGAAGCTCTCCCCTCCACCAGGGCCCCACCTGGTTCCTAGAGTGCTCTGTACGCCCCACCTCCCAGCCCTGCTCATCTTGCTCCTGTCCCCATGCCACCTGCCCTTCCCCCAGCCTCACAGCACCCCTGCTCAGGATTCTGGTCCCCCCAGCCTTCTGGCTTCCGGGTCATCCAAGCCATTCTCCCAGTGTGTTCTCCAAGGTTCAGGCAATGAAGGGATGAATCTTGAGGTGAAAATTCTTCCTTAGATTGAAGAGCGTTACTTCTTTACTATGTGTTTCTCTGTTTCCAGGTCTGTGCCTTTGACTTCATTTCATTGAAGCATACTCTGGTTTTAACAAAAATGCAAAATACTTAATTCTGCATCTTCCAAATGAGCTGTGACCTATCCGATATTCAGAAAGAACTATTATGTCTCTTGCTGGATGAGATTATATTCTTTAAATCCTTGAAAAGATCTGTTTTACTGTGAGTCATGTTAAAAAAAATGTATTAAATTAATAATTAAAATGTTGCTTTAACAGACTTTACCTAAGAGCATTGGAAAACTTAAGAAGTTGAGCAACTTGAATGCAGACAGAAATAAATTAGTGTCTTTACCAAAAGAGGTATGTGCTTTAAAAAAACAATAATAATTATAAAGAAATAATAGCATGCAAGGGATCATAATGTCACATGTTTTAAAAGACTTACTGCGGTGCTTTTTAAATGTTATGTACTCTCATTTGTGAGCATAGAAATGGTTGGAGGAGTTATATCAAAGAATGATCATCAGTAACGTTAAAGAGAATAGGTGGGTCCAGATGACTATGAGCATTGTTGAGAAAGCTGAATTGATAGGATTTTAAGTGGGAGAAAGAGAGAGTTTGACCTTTCTGGCTTGACATATAGAGAACCATTGACAAAAATAGGTAATTTGAGAGTTTAGCAGAGGAAATGGATAACGTTGGGTCTAACGGAATTTAATGTGAAATTAAACTGCTTCCTAAGCCTTTGGAATTATAAAAGTGGACTTGATGCAACCCTTTTCGTGGGCAGAGATCGAGACCTGGCAGTGTTCATGTTTGGGAGAGAGTGAATGAACTCCTCACAAAGGCGTTCACATAGAGGGAGGTGAATGGGCAGCTGTAGCCAGATTCTTAGGAATTTTGTGTGTGTGTGTGTGTGTATGTGTGTATGTGTGTGTGTGTCGATGATCCCACCAGGAGAAGAGACCATCACCATGCATTGTGGGAAGTAGTTGTGCAGACACAGAGGCACTTCAGTTCTGGCAAAAGAATTGGCTGAAAACAAGGGGACTCAGAGCAGATTTAACAAGGATGCCTGTGTAATGTTTAACAAGAAAGCTTACCTTCTATTTGGAAGTTCCTAGGGGAACTGGGAGATGGGTAGTGATTTTTTTGTTAACTGTTAGCCTGAAACTCAGTTTAGCCACCCTTCTTCCCCCCATCAAATGTTGGTGAGCCCCGTCCCCTTTGTTAGGCCTCACATGAAAAGGTGTGATATCGTGTGAGATGATCCCTGGCCAGGCGCAGTGTCCTTCCTATCTCTTTTTTTACCCTTTCTTACATCTCTCTTGGGATAATTTTATTTTATTTTTTAATTTATTATTACTATTTTTTATTTCTCTTGGGATAATTTTAGAACTACCATCCCACCAGCCAGAACTGTGTGTTCTTACTTTCCTATGGCCTTTCTCCGGGTGTCTGAGCTTTGCTTGGTTTCTCTTTCTCTTTCCTCATCTTGGTGCTATACCCTCTGGGTCCCAGTCTTCTGCCTGGGCAAGACAGCTAACATTCCTGAAGGGACGCATAGAGGGTATTTGTCATAAATGTGGCCATATTCTGACCCATCCTTACTCTGAGCACTGGCACTTAAAACTGTTTCCTACAGAAAGACTTCAGTACACCTCCGCTAAACTGGGACACAAGTAAGAGATTCTGCTAATTAGAACATGTTGGTTCTGGTCTCACAGTGATAAACCAAAACATAGAGCTGATATTCTGAATATTGACTTTACTGTTGTTTAATGGGTAGCAGACTGGACACGTAGACACGTGCACAGGGAAGTAGGGAAGATTTCTTACTTTCTTTCTAGATGCCACGTACCATACTCGGCGCTGTTGTGTTTAACTCCCTAAATCCTCACAGCGGCTTTTGAGGTCGTAAGGGAGAGTTCCTCATTTTCCAGATGAGGAAGCTGAGGCCAGTGGAAAGCCCTCCATAGCAGGCCTCACCTAGCTAGCAGTCAGTAGAATGGGCTCCAGAGATGTGTCCCCTCAGCCTGCTCACTGTTCTTCCACCGGCCAAGGAAAGCATGGCCGCTCAGGTCATACAGATTCAGTCCAGCCTTTTCACATGTGGCCCTGAGGTAAGATAGGACCTTAAGTTGGTAAAGAGAGGTCACACTATCTTTAGCTTGGACGTGTTCGAAAATTAATACTTTTCAGGAACATTTTCAAGGTTAGTGCTGAAGAGAGCACTTGGGAGTTGAATGTCCATCCCCACTAAGTTTCCCCACCTAGCCCGTCTTCCCCATCCCCCTCTTCTGATTCTCTAGCAAAGGAATACCTCCTAGGCACAACTTTAACATTTTATTTGTGTAAAATTATTGCCATCATGTTAGCATCTGTCCTCTTTACATTTTAAGAGAATGAAACTTGTACTCAGGGTCCAGAGGGATATGCCCACCACATGCTGTGTCCGTGCAAATTTATTTTATTAGAACAGCGTTTCACGATGTGGAAAGTGAATGTGGTGTGAAAATAGTTCTAGCTTTGAAGCATTCTAGCTAGCTGTCACGTGTTATCCGCTCTCTATGAAATTGTGATTGGTTTTCTGCCAGGTAGAGTTTGATGATAGAGTCTGTGCCCTTTCCTGCAGCGGTGAGAGAAAGCAGGGAATGTGCTGAGGTTTTTAGGAACTGGCTCTCTTCTAGCACACCTTCACTGCTACTCATGCACACTCACCTCCTAGGGTAGGGAAACGCCCTGAGCCCATGTCCCTAATTCCGCTGCGGGTTGCAGTGTGGTGACCCCGGAGAAATGGCTGCTGAGTGCTTGCTGTTGACTGTCGGGGCTGAGCAGCCAGACCACCCCAGGCCTCCTGACCCCCAAGGGTGTCGTGGTGGTCTGCGCCGCATTGCCGTGCCATGAGTCTCTGTGCACCGAGTGAGTGTGGCAGGCCCTGGGACCGTGCGTGTGTGTGCATGTGTGTGTGTGGGTGGGTGGGTGTAGAATCGGGGCAGTGGGGCTGGACCTAGGCGACTATGTGTGTGTGCACTTGCTCTGCCTCCAAGCTTGATACCATCACATCCTGTACTTTCCTTGTTGGATTCTGCACTTGCAAAACTCTACTACTCTCTCTTGAACAATTAAGTTGCATGCATGACACATCTAAACTGACACGCTAACTGATTCAATATATATGCCAAAAATCCATAATTGTATTAATTGCGATTGGGTCTGGTGTGCCATGTAGTTCTTCCTATTTTTTGGCTTTCTTTAATTTGATACTATTGTATATCATGTTTTAGAGCACAGCTCCTTAGTCTCTGGCAGCATTTATTTGTTTTTGTTTTTTTCCCCCAAATGAGGGGAAAATGTACTGTGTGGGTCACAATAATAGATTCTGTTTGTGTTTTGTGGTGTTATTTGTAGCAAACATTTGCAAATCAATGAATGTCTCTTGTTTTCTTAATTGTTAGCTGCTTGGAAATTTAGAAAAGTCGGGTAAACTTGTTATCTTGTAAGTATTGTTCAGACCACAGTTGCATCTCTAACTTCCATTTTGCTTCTGAAATGCATGAAGATTTCAAATCGGCTGACTGCTTTGTGTGTTCCTCATTGTAAAATATTGGACATTTTCCTCTAAACTCAGTTTGTTTTTTTTTTTTTAAATGACCGCATGGCCTGGAACCTTATTTTGTTACGTGTTTGTCAGATTTGTTCAGATTGTTCTCTCTCAAAAGAATGCTTTTCTGTGAATTATATTTTAAGTTATTCAGAAATTCCAAAAGGCATAACGTGGCAGCTCATCTGTCTTCACTAAATTCCGGTTTGTCAGCACAATTCTCTCTCCAATGGAAAGGCTAGATTTGCTTTATTTGCTACATGTGGCATGCTTCTGATTTTTCAAGCAACTTATTTGTGTCTTTTATTTCTCATCCTGTCATGTAAGTGTGTATGCTTCTGGGGGAAAGAAGGCTCCCCAAAAAACTTAACGTTTTTGGTGGAGGGAAGAATTAAGAAGAGACTGCGTTCTGTGATGCGTGGATAGAGAGGGAGTTGGTTTTTGTGTGACTGTGAGTATGATGAAAGAGAGCCAGCAACTTCATAATATTCCCCAGCCAAATCTTACCTTTGAACAACCTGCACCATCTAAAGAGTTTCTGGCTGGAAGAAATTGAGCATGTGTCCAAGTTTAGAGTCCAGTCTTTTGTCTCCATTAAGTCAAAGTGAAAGTGATCTTGACTCCATCACACTTATCCAGTCAAAAGATAGGATTTGCAGATCATTTATCAAAGCTTGTTTTTGTTTTAAATCAGCACTCTGTAAACGTTAAGTACCCATAAATATTGTGATTTTCAGAAGTGTCTGTGGTGATAGAGAATTCGTTTTATGGATAGCTTTCTGTCTTATTACAATTTAGTGTAAGCTTCCATCATATTCTAAAATGGATTATTGATAAAAGAGATAAGATAAAACCTAAAAATACTAGAATAAAATATAGTTGGCCATTGGATTTCAAAATGGAGAAGGCATTCCCAAACTTGAAAGAGGAAACAAGTCCTAAAAAAACAACCAGTTGGTAGATTTGTCTATGTGAAAATTAGATTTCTGGTCTTCAAGAAGGTAAAGACAGCCTGGGGGCCAGGGTCTTACAACATTACAGACGAAGAGGTCTCTCCTCATTCTACTCAAAATCCTTCCCGATCATTGAGAAAAAGATGTTCCCACGAGTGGACAAAAATTAAAGCAAAGAACCCACCACAATAAACAGTAAGTGATTTAGAGAAGAAAAAATAGAAATGGCTACCGATGTGAAAAAATTTTAGTCCCATCAGTATTCACAGAAATGTTAATAGAAGCTTTTTGACCTATCAAATTGTCAAGATTAAAAAAAAAAAATGATACCAGATGTTGGCGAGGGCACAGGAAAATGCATAGATAATATGGAAGTATAAATTATTACATCTTCTGGAAGGGAACACATATTGAAGGATCCTTTGAAAGTGTTCATACCCTTTGATTCTGCAATGCCACTTCTAGGGCTTTGTCCTAGGAACACAGTTGTGGTACACATGAAAACCATGCACAAGAGTATTTCTCATGTATATGTAGGGGCAGCTAACAGGTACACATACAGGGGCAGCTCACACGCGCCAGGTACTGCGCTTTCCTGCATCTTCGTGTCTAATCTTCACAACAGTCCTGTGAGGTGTAGTAAGTCGTTATCAACATCCAAGAGTCCTGGAAACCCAGACTCAGCTGAAGTAACTTGCCCAAGATTACACAGGAAAGACATGGTAGAACCAACTCTCAGCATCTAATGGGGGAGATTTGTGAAGTGATCTGCGAGACGTCTGTAGAATCAAATAGTTATGTGGTCAATAAAAGTCCTTTTAGAAACATAATGATGTGGGAGGACGTTCCTGGTGTTATGTGTAAACAGAAGTGCTGAAGATCATAGTGTTGGTCCTAATTTCATCAAAGTGTGTATGTATATATATAATCACAAGTGCATGGCAATAATACCGGAGGATTGTACTTCAGAATGTTAATACCAATTATCCCTTTGGGGTAGGATTGGTCTGAGTTTTTTCCTTGTGCCTTTATGTGTGTGTATATATGGTTTTTATTTTCCAGTCAGCGTAACTTTTTTATAATTAGAAATGAAGAATGCCGTAGCTGTTAGTGGATATTTCGATGTCAGGGGCCCAACAATTCAGGAAGTCCCAAAGCCACATGATTTCCAAAATATTTATGAAACAGGAACATTCGAATAATATGCCACGGATGATGATGGGAAAGGCAAAAAACAGTCTTTGGTTTCTGAAATTACTCACCATATTATTACAGCTCAAATTGTGTTTTGACCAGATTTCACTTATTGTACGTTTTCCTTTCTGCCAGTGAAATGTAGGTTCCATTCTGTTACATATAGAATATTAAAAGGCAGATAGTGAAGGAAAAATGAAAGTTTCTTCACACTTGGGGCAGGTGTTCAGAAAGTGGAATATAGGTAGACAAGGATGACTAATACAGGCTTTCTCTTTGGATCACTGACAGTGATTATTGCCTCTTGAGTAATGTCACCTGCAGGCAATTAATACTTAGCGCAGCTGACCCGACTAAGGGTTTGCTCAATGACCTGCAGATCCCATCTCCTCAAGATGGGTGAAATCAGGTCCAAACAGTGAAGGAAGGTATCGTCTGGAATTAAGAGACACAAACCAGCAAAACAAAGATTCTCAGCTACATTCTGTAGTTCTCCAAGTCCAACCCTTTGTATTCTGGGAAGGTGCTATTATGTGGTTTAAGGAAGTTTAAAAATACCAGCTTCCTACGTAGATGGTAATAAGTTATTTAAACAGTGACTCTGCTTCCCAGAATTTCTAAGTGATACAGGCATTTTATCCTGATGATCACTAAGGACGCTGTAAACTCTACCTCCTGAACCCGAGACAGAAAACAAATACACATGAACCATATGTATACTAGAATACTGAGCTCACACCAGTGCTTCACTAGCAGTGAAGTCACAGTGTATTTATCCCTAGTATTTTCCACAGTGACATTTTGTCATTTTGTCACGGTGATGCATTGCCGGGGAGAGATTTTTAAGAAGGTCAGGTGTGTTCTGGGAGGAGTTCACCAGGGTCAGCACACTTCCAACAACACAGCAGGCACGCAAGTGTTGACTGCACTGGTCTTTTGGATCCGGGACTTGGACTTCTTGAAAAGACAGTAACTGTCACATTGGTTTGCCAGCCGCATTTATTAGGCCAGGTTCTATGATAGGTTCTAAATTGTGTTTGTGGTTTCATTTAATTTGATCCCGATTGTTACTTTTGGTTAAAGTAACATAGTCTAACACACAAAACACAGGACGGAGCCTTAGTTCCAGCCCAGGTCTTCGTGATCCCAGAGCATCCTACTCCAGTGCGCCACATTCCTCTCTGATGTCTATGAAGAACTATACCTTTTGAGTTATGGTTTTTACTGCTTAATAATCCTCTCCGAAAGCCAAAGGCTCGTGCCATGACTTCCTGGCTGATTTGGAAAGAGGTGTCTGTTTGTGCACTGTTCTGCCTGGGACAGTGCGTGCCTCTGAGGGTGATAAAGGCGTCCCGGCACACTGAGCAATAACACTCGCTCGTTGTTGGCATTGTTTCATTGTTTTCTGAAACCCTTCGACAATAGAGATCAGGAGGTCACTCTGCCTGCTGTGACAACCCAGAGTGCCTACGAGGCTCTTGAATACAATTGCTTTCCACCCCTTGAGGTCTCAGATGGGTTTGAGATTAGAATGGGAAAGGAAAAAGAAAAAATAAATAAATGAGACTATAAACACAGTAGACAGCTCACACATTCCATTGGGAGTTCACATTATTCCCGCCCCCTCAAAAGACTTAAAGGGTGTTTACTTGTCCAGAACTTTTATTGCTCCAACAACTGTTAGAACCCTCTCTGACCCATTTTAATGAGTTAATTGATTTTTTGATAGATAGTATATGTACATGATACAGATTGAAAATGTTCACATGGTATAGTATTAGGGCCCCAAAACAGATATCCTACAGGTGGCTGGAGCAGTGGACAGCTTCATGACAGAGTGCCCCCAGTTATGATGCAGTTTCAGCTCTATACACACTCCAGTACCTTATTTTGCCACTGTGAGGGTTGTGTATGTGCATAACTGCTTTGCCCCTCTGGAGTACAGATAAATCTTACGTCTTTATAGCCAGGCCGGGATGATAAGGTTAATGTGAGGTCCAGCCTCAGCCACGTGCTGACCTGGAAGACCTCCCATGTGGCACACAGACCCACCACTGAGCCCAGAGCCCATTGCACATGGAGCAGGGTCATGGGGGGTTCCCCTCCATGAGGAGCTTGGGGATTTCTTCCCATGAATAGATCTTTGTTGGGATCATCTCAGTTTATCAGAGAAAATCTAATCATGTCGATCCTCTTTTGATTCCTTCCATAATATTCCTGGGCATCTGAGTAAAACTGATGATTCCCTTCCTCAAGAGGGAAGAATGCCAAGCCCCTCAAAGATCCTGTTGTATATCTCTTTTAGGGCATGATTTTGGGGCCCTATGTTTATAAAACCTAAGAGAGGCCTCTCTAATGATTCTTTTTTTTTTTTTTTTATTTATTTGAGAGAGAGAATGAGATAGAGCATGAGAGGGGGGAGGGTCAGAGGGAGAAGCAGACTCCCTGCTGAGCAGAGAGCCCGATGCGGGACTCGATCCCGGGACTCCAGGATCATGACCTGAGCCGAAGGCAGCCGCCCAACCAACTGAGCCACCCAGGCGTCCCTCTAATGATTCTTAATACAAAAAAGAAGACTTTTGTAGTTTTCATTTCTACACGTAGAAGCAGATATTAACTTCAAGTAGCAGTCTTTCACTAGTAAATAAATAAACATAAGCGTATAAACATATCTAAATGAGAAGAGTTGGTAGGTAGGTAGGATGGGTACTGTACTTGCCAAGCACCCTGGTTTTATGGACATGTACAAGTTAAACAGCTCAGTGTATAGATCATAATTACAAAAGAAATGCAGAGAGCAGTGTATCAGTATGGACTGTGGGGTTTGGGGAAGACTCAATGGTGTAGAGGATGTTTAGCTACTTTGGGACAGTTGGTAAGATTTAGAAAGACAGAAAAAAGAAGAGCATTTCTGTAAGACACAGTGGGACCAAAATGTTATATTTTAGAGGGCAGTGAATGCACCAGTTTTACTGGGATGGGAAATGTGAATACTGAGAAATCATGGGGACAATCTAAAAGCCTTTCTACATATCTGGGTGTTTTCCATTTTAGACAAACGTTAGTTTGTGTTTTCTTTTATGTTTATTTTTCTTTTACATCCATTATGGGTAAGTACTCTGGTTAAATACCTGATCTCAAGTCTTTATGTTAATTCCTAAGGGAAGACATAATAAGATTGTTCATGAAGGTAATGTTCATAATTATGTAGCATAATTTTTATTTCATAAAAAGCCAAGTGTTCGTAATTATGTAGCAATTTCATAAATATGCATTTTGCTTTTTTAAGGTACATACATATATTAAACACATGTATACATAGAAGAGGGCATGGGATGTACTTAGATATCATTAAAGATGCAAGTCTCCTGCCTCTCCTCAAGTGGGAAGCTGTGGAGTATTTTTCCATGTGTCAGAGAGACATCAATAGGTTCCTTCATGAGCCTTTTCTTGCAATCACTCTGGGTCAGGATAGTTAGTACAGGAAGAATGTAGTACTGTATGGAGTCCTGCAGAATGTTGTGTCTGAGATTGAGTTATTTTTCCACCCCCTTGATTCAGCTTTCCTGACCATAGAAACCATGGCCAGTTTGTTCAAGAGAATGGTTCAGTTCTTTTGTGCTTATGTTCTTTTTTTGAAGACCAGGCTCATACAAAGCTCAATTACCTTTGAATCACTTACTAAATAAATAAATAGTAATCAAATTTGGTGTGGATGTCGATATTGATATGTTTCTGCCAGCATTAAATTTACCAGATTAATGTGTGTATTTACCACATTCAGTTTTTGCTAAAATATTGTTGATTTTGCATTTGCGAAAGGAAAATGAATAATGAATTTACCAAGTTAAGTTGTGAATGACCAAAAGCAATTAAAAGATGTATGGGGGAAAATTAATGTACTGTATTGTCTATTTGATATCCTTTTTTTCCTTTTTTTGTTTTTTGAAATGAACTGAGACACTGGGAACACTGGATTTAATATAATGGGCAAGTCTTCAAAGGGGTGTGCATGTATCATTGTTGGCCTTATTTTTGAAACTTAGAATTCTTAATCCACCAAATAATATTTATCTGGACCTGGGTAGCTTAGTTAGTATTTAAAAGATATAGTTGCTATTTGAATAGCAGTGGAAAATGACTTGCTTTTCAGAATGAGATTTTTCAACTGTACTGTTTATTTTCTTGATTTAATTTAGAATATGTACATTTAATGTATTGTAGAGATTTTTATGAACTTACTGGACTACTTAATGTTTATATGATTTAAGTTCAAAATAGTTGGCTTCAGTGAAACTTAAAATCATGTGGTATCATTTTATGTGTTCTTTTCATGCCATTTGACAAACAAGATACCCACCACCATCTTCCACAAAAACCTGGAAAAAAGATGTATTTTCTTTCTCATTGTAGATTGGAGGGTGCTGCAGCCTCACTGTGTTCTGTGTGCGTGACAATAGACTAACTCGGATACCTGCAGAGGTGTCTCAGGCCACAGAGCTTCATGTCCTGGATGTGGCGGGGAACAGGTAAGCATGTTCTGGTTTGCCTTTTTTGAGAAAAAGAGCCAGATGTTCATCCACTCCAACCTTTGTCATGTGTCTTTGCCATCTTGCCTTTGCTCCATCTTATAGAATATGTACCAATTAGTCGAATGACCCAGAGCCCAGAAAGCTGTTAATCTGAGAGCAGGAGGGATGGATCTGGATGGGGGAGTAGAAGAGGTCAAGGACGGCCTGAGTGCGGGGCACTTTGAAGTTTAAGTGGACGCTTCTATAGAAATGCTTCCCAGAACAGCATACAGTGATGTAAGGGAGACAGCGCTGCCTGAGAACTGGGATACTTAGGTTTTCCCTTAACTTTGATAGCTTTTGTAAGTCATCGTGAGCCTCTGGGTTTCCTCATCTGAAGGATGAGCTTGAATGAGTTTGAACTAGATTTTAACCAGGAGTCTTGATGTGCTCTGCTGGTGATTCTGAACCCCTTGAAACTGTAAACAAAATTATATTCAGGGACATTTTTCTGGCCAAAGGATCCCCAGCTAATGTCAGAATCACCAAGTGGTCATAATCAAAGTGAAGAGCTACCTGACTGGTATTCCCCAAGGTCACAGCAGTGCCATTTCTCATGTTCTGAGGTCAGAAGTCATAGTAGACTGCTCCCTGGTTTTGGAATATTCCTTCTCTTCACCTGTGCAGACTGTGGATTTGTTTCAGCCAGTCTGAACTAATTTCGTCACCTCAGATCGCATATGCACTTTCTTTCCCCTGAGCCTAGCTCAGCTACTCTTTCTGCCTGGGACCCTCTTCTCTGACTCCCACTTTTATCTCTCATCACTCCTGTTTTCATTTCCTCCGGGGAGCTTTCTTTGCGTGGAGCCTGCTCCTTTGAATTCCCCCTGACAGAGCACTCACAGCACCGTGAGATAATCGCCAGCGTACGCGTGTGTGACCGTCTAAACCTAAGGGTGCGCGGAGTCAGGTGTTGCGTCTGGGCCGCTCTACCGTTTATCCCTGCACAGTGCCTGGCACATGATAGAAGCCTGGTAAATATTTGTCGCCCAAAGGAAAATGTTAAAAATGTTAGTTTTGCAGAGTGAATAGTAGGGCACTGGGAAATGCCTTGTATCACAGGCTGTATCACCAAAAGAATTTAAAAAATGCTTTCGAGTGTTACATAGTTAGATAGGAGAAAAAGTGCTCAGACAGGGGAAGACGATCAATGACTTTAAATGAGAGAGAGTAGCAGCAGTCAGAAGAGTGTTTGGGGGACTGTGTGCTAAGTGCTGATTAACTGGTCCCTTAGGTCGGGCACAAGCCACCATTTCTCATTCTGGCTAATGGATTTAGGTAGTGGTGCTAATAAATAGCAGGACTCAGCAGGCCTCAGGGAACGCCCACCATTTTCAAGCGAAGGCTTTCAGGACATCTTGACAGATTCTTGAACCACTGACTGGATACCGGAAACTCAGGGTTAATTTGAGCTGAGCGTTGACTTTTTGCTGGACGGAGTCTCACATGAAGCATAGAGCTTGGGAAGGGTGGTTCTTTCCTAAACTCCAGCAGTAGAAACTCAGTGACTCCAAACCTTCCCAGATTCTTGCCACACCTGTGAGCATGAAATTGCATCACTAATTCTTGAGCCTGAAAACTGTTTTTCACATGAGTGAAGCTTCCAATCTTTAGTTCTTAGAAGGGAAAGTTAAATTTTTATTATGCTTGGGCTGGGGTGGAGAAAACCCCGTTAAAAAGTAGAGTTACATAGCTGTCATCTGAGTCAGTTAATTCAGGTTCATAACCAAATCTTAAACCTATTAAAATATTTAATTACTACTTATTTAAAGTATTAGTATAGAAACTAATTAAAAAAAAAGGCTACATGTCAGCTTTTTAGCTTGCAGAAATGTTATACCATGGGAAATCATACCACATACAAGAGAAGTTTTTGCCTCTTCTCTTAAGCATATAAAAATAGCAAATGACACAGACTATATGTTAGTTTCCACAAATTTTCTTTGACAAGTTTGATAGGGTAACTATAAAATGCCACTTGGAAACTAAGTATCAAATCTTGTGGTACAGTAACAGAGAAGATGTCTTTTATCAGCAGCTACCCATGGACACAGAATCCATTTCCTTAATTCTTACTCTTTCCCTTAGGAATATTCACCCACTACACAACATCTAGTATTTGAGGATCTTTGAGGAAGAGTAGTACCGAATACTAGAAACAGTGACTACCAATGGGGAAATAGGTCGTACCTTTGAATTTTATAACCCAAAAAATGAGATCTAAAAATATTAAAACATATTACCTCACAGCTGTTAGAGTGGATGTTGTCAAAAAGACAAGAGATAACAAGTGTTAGTAAGGATGTGGAGACAGGGGAACCCCTGTGCCCTACTGGTGGGAAGCACAGCCACTAGGGAAAACAGTATGGAGGTTCCTCAAAAACTTAAAATATAACTGTCATATGCTATAGTGATCCCACTTCTGGTATATAGCCAAAGGAAATGAAAACAGGATATTGAAGAGGGATCTGCATTCCCATGTTCACTGCAGCATTGCTTTGGTCCTTGTACCATTCACAGTAGCCAAGATATGGAAAGAACCTAAACATCATCAGCAGATGGATGAATGGATAAAGAAGATGTGGTGTGATATATATAATGGAATATTATTCAGCCATAAGAAAGAAAAAAGCCATGTTATTTATGACAATATGGATGGACCTTGAGGGCATTATGCTAAGTGAAATAAGTCACACAGAAAAAGACAAATCCTATCTGATCTCACATGTGAAATCTAAAGAAGTCAAATTCCTAGAAATAGAGAGTAGAATGTTGGTCACCAGGGGCTAAGCGTAGGGGAGATAGGGAGGTATTGATCAGTGGGTACAAATTCCCAGTTATAAGATGAATAAGTTCTGGGGACTTGATGTATATCATGGTGACTGTAGTTAACAATACCACTTTATATCCTTGAAAGTTGCCGAGTGAATAGATCTTTGAATGGTCTCGACACACACATACACACACACACACAAAAAGTGGTGATTATATCACTGGATGGAGGTGTTAACTAACTCTACTGTGGTAGTCACTTAGGAATATATATATATAATATATATATAACACTTAAAGTTACACAATATTACATGGCAATTATAGCTCAGTAAAACTGAGAAAAAATATTAAAAGACAAAACACAACATGGCAGCGTAGCTATACTGTGGAATAGTAAGCAGTTAAAGAGTGAGATAATTTTTCTGTGTAGTGACACAGGAGGCCCATGGTACCAAATAAAAAGAACAGCTCTTGGACAGTACATAGCACTCTCATTTTTGTTTTTGCCTTTAAAACAACAGATCTATGCAGTACAACAAAACATTAATAATAGTTCCCCTAGAGGCAGAGTGGAGGCTTGAGGTTACAGGGGGTTTTCCGTTTTGATATTTTGGTATTACGTAAATTTTCCACCGCTTATGTTTTCTCTATCTTTAAACAGTTTTGAAAACTTTGCTTAAAACTCAAAATTCTAGTAGGAGATAAAAATTCTAGTAGGAGGTAAAACTAAAAATTCTAGTAGGAGGTAAAAACATTCAGTTGTAAGAAGCATGCAACTCTAGGTTAAGTCAGTATTGCATTGATCAGTTGGCCATGTGTAGTTGTTAAATAAATTTGACAGTATGGTCACTACAGCAGTGCAGAGGTGGGGAAGGTCACCTCAGGTTAGTTGGTCAGGGATTTAACTGGAAATGAGAGGCTTGGCTCATGGTGTGGTTATTCATTTGCTTTAGTCCTTGTGCCTTTGATGTAAATAGTAACCACAGGCTTTTCGAGGGGATGTGGTCCTATATAAAACAGGGAGATGGGAGATGTGTACAAATAGGACTGTGATTTCTTGTGTTGATTCTGCAGTGTACAGAAGGTACCAGAATAAACCAAAAATGTATTTTTAACTCCTCTGAAAAGCAGGAATATATATATATATATGTACACACACACATACACACACACTTTTATCTGGGATGGTTCACCCAAGAGAAACAGAGGAGTGTGTTTATGTGTCTTTTCTGCCCCAGGTAGCAGTGAATCAGTGGGCGTTAGCTTAGACTGCAGAATCTTAGACTGGGCAGGGAACAGAGCACTTTTGTTTTCTTTTTTTGTCTTTGACACTACTGGAGCACCCCTCCATGGGACACTTAGTCAACAAACTCATGTGTGGTATGTGCTCGTTTGGCAGCCACCATGTTCAAGCTGGCCCTCTGATTCTTTACAGGGAAACTGGTGTTCTAGACAAGTCACTAATCTTATATGGCTTGGTTGAATGTGATTACAAGATCTGTTGTTGTAGAGTCTAGTAATTTATTTTAACTTTTACCGTATGATTTATCATCCTTAGAACCTGTTATTTATTACTGATGCTCTGTTTAGCCCTTTATTTATGCCTTTGCTTTAGCACTTAGCTGCAAAGCCAGTTATTCTGAGAAGGTATGATGACTATGTTTGAGTACTTGTGTTTTGTGCCAATTTTCGAATCTTAATATTTTTTTCTTTAAGCTCTCATGATTAAGAAATCTAGAGATACTGACTGTAAATATCTTGTGTAAGACCCTGAAAATTCCAAAAGAATTATCCCTTTGTTCAATAAAATGAAAAAGAGTTTTAAAGTACTGGGAGCTTTCACAGTGTGTTAGGATACTCTTTTAAAAAAATCCCTGTCACCAGGTCTGGCAAATGTCTTTAACTTCCTTGCATTTGAATAAATGTGTGACAGCCTTTGGGCAGAGGCAGGAATAATTTGTTGTATAAGCATAAGAGATTTCACTTTCTATTCGCTCAAAGACCCAACACCTCAGAATAGGAAGTGGAGCTGTAAAGCCTCTGCTTCCTCAGATCCCTTGGGCGTCCTATCACTGAACTCAGTAGATTCTGGGATTTAAAAATACATATTTCTCACTCAGTTTGGCCCTTAAGAGCAAAGTATTAGAGTGTATAATACACAGAGACTTTTCAAGGGTACTTTAACATATGGAAATCTCATGGGTGCATTGACTTTAAAACCTAACTCCCACGTAAGGTACGATTCCACTGACTCAGTACTGCACCCAGCACATATGTGTGGGATGGACCAGCCTTTGCCGGACTAACTGTTAGGAAAAGAAAATATTTTGTCATCTCCATAACTTGTATATTGGAAGTATTTTGTAAGACATATTAATTTGTTCTTGTGAAAAGTTTAATAATGCATTTGTTGTTAACACTCTCCATGCACTCTTTGATAATTTTTACTTCATTTATTAAGGTAACAACATTCTGTGCTTACATTTTATTTAGATTAGTTTAGTAATATTGGAGTACAACTTCTCTTCATATCCCTACATAGAGTTCGAATTAGTTTTCCATAAGCCTGCCCATTCAGAATGGCATCTATGTCTGATAATGCAGTATTGATCTCTCGGTAAGATGTATAGGTAGACTTCCCACATGTGTTAAACTGGAAATAGGTGTGCAAGTTCATAAAAGAAAGAGCCCCAGCAATACATGCTGCCATATGATTTCTTATGGAATTCATGGGCCAGGGATTTCTTTTCAGAAAATGTGCCTCATCTTGTGGCTCACAGAATGCAGTGAGCTCATTACTGTCCAGCTTGTGAAGTCACTGCTGAGATTGTAATTTAATGCACATGGAGCCATCTTTAGAGTAAAAATACTTGATCAAATACAACCTTAGTTTCATTAAACCTTAAATTCCTGGTATCTGCAGAGGTTTGGTTGTTTTCACAGTGCATTAGTAGACTTGTATAAAGCATTGGTTTTTACTAAAGCAGTCTTTTCACTCCAAGCCCTGTTGGCATTTTGGGCCAGGTACTTCTTTGTTGTGGAGGCTGTCCTATGCATTATAGGATGTTTAGCAACATCCCTGGCCTCTACCCACTAGATGCCAACAGCACCGCCCAAAAATGTGTACAGACATTGCCAGATGTCCCTGGGGCAGAAGCGCCCCTGGTTAAGAACCACTGCACTAAAGTAATCTTTGGCAAGTACGCACTATATATGATTCCCAGTGCTGGTCTTTGCTAAATAGAGTTAAATGGGTGCAGCCGCTCTGTCAGACATGTGTGCGAACATTAATATAAAATTAATCTTTAGGTGTCACATTATAGTTTTTAAAGCTTTAATATATACGATCTCATTTGAAACTGAAACAATGTGAAATGGACATTAATTACCACATAGGAGTCTGGGGAAGTGGGAGCTTCTAGAAACTAGAAGATACAAGTTTAACATGGATACCTAAAATAATCTCCTTAGAGAAAGAAAATGCAGTGCAGGAAGAAAATGTTTTAATCTTTATTATAACTGCCACTTAAACTCTTTAGCACCCTAGGCATCTCCTTCCGTTCTTCCTCATTTGCCAAGTGCTACTGAAAACATGTCATTGTCAGGGAGGCTTTTGCCATTGACTCAGTAAGAACTCCTGCTTTTGGGTCCTTCCACAGTCACACTGGCTTCTTTTCCTCTTTAAATCGAAACCTCCTAATGTTTTGCCCTGTGGCCAGAGGTGCTGATGAGAGAGATGACAGCAGAAGAGGGAAGCACAGTGACGGACTGAGGAGTGTGCTCACAAAGAGTACACCAAGGATTTTATTATAAACATAACATCCTGTTCCATGTTGAATCCATGAGGTTCTTTTTAATGGTTTTTTTTCTATCTGTATTGATAGGGATTGATGTAATTATAAAATCTGAGACCTTGATGTCTCCTTTTGTTTTAAATTAGGCTGTTACATCTGCCTTTATCCCTGACCGCCCTGAAGCTGAAGGCTTTGTGGTTGTCTGACAACCAATCTCAGCCCCTGCTCACATTCCAGACGGACACAGACCACACCACAGGAGAGAAGATTTTGACCTGTGTCTTGCTTCCTCAGCTGCCTTCTGAACCTACTTGCCAAGGTGAAATTAAGAACAATACTCACATGGCTACGAGAATTAGTAGGAGCTAATACCTATCCATAAGACCTCTTACTCCCACGTGTGTCTGTAACTTGTCTAATGTGCCCCTAGCCCGGGTGAGGTCACTCTGGGTGTCCTCTGGGAAGGTTTGTTCCCCTGCACCTTCGAAGAAAAAGTACCCCTCACACCTGCTTATCATACCTGAAATTTCCTTAAACAGCCTTTTGGGTTTGAATTATCACCAAGGCTGAAAGTACAAATACTCTTAAAAAAGTCCCTTAAAATCCAGACTGGTGGTTTAGAGGATTAGTATTGAACACCACTGACAAACAGTTTTTTTTTTTTTTTAAGATTTATTTATTTATTTATTTTAGAGAGATAGAACACGAGTGGGAGGGGCAAAGGGAGAGGGAGAGAGATCTCAAGCCGACTCCACACTGAGCGCAGAGCCTGACCAGGACTTGATCTCACTACCCTGAAATAATGACCCGAGCTGAAATCAAGAGTCAGTGTTTAACTGACTGAGCCACCCAGGCGCCCCCACTGACAAATAGTTTTTAAGCCAATCTGTTATTTTAAGTCATTGTATCTTTGTTTTGTAAATTGTGTGGTTTTAAAAAATATTTGCACTAACATCAAATTGCCATTATAAATCTTTTGCTGAGAGCTGGTTTTGATAGAAGAGAACTAGAGTGCTCTGGGAGAATGGGAGTCCCCTAGGTGGAAAGGCCCCAAAACCCTCTTGCCAATTTCAGCCTTGTTCGAGGAGCTTTTAAGACCCCAAGGGGAAAACAGCAGAATGTGTTACTAAGGAAAGTACTAGTGTCCAACATGTGCAGCCCCATCACTGTCATGTGAAAGGTTTTTTATTTTTTTTCTTTTGTTTTTAAGAAGGCTCCATGCTCAACGTGGAGCCCAACCTGGGGCCTGAACTCACGACCCTGAGATCAAAACCTGAGCTGAGATCAAGAATCGGATGCTTAACCCACTGAGCCACCCAGGCGCCCCTCATGAGAAAGTTTTTACAGTTAGTTTATAGAAAAGAATTGTGGGGGCACCTGGGTGGCTCAGTTGGTTAAGCGACTGCCTTCGGCTCAGGTCATGATCCTGGAGTCCCAGGATCGAGTCCCGC